CACTTATTAACTCACAACCGTCACCGAGCAGCTCAGAGATCAATGTGCACAGATGGTTGAGTCTGAGCCGTTTTCAATAACTGGAAGTAGCATACAGGACATATACAGGATGTTTTTACAATATGGAAAATGAAAAGTGACGCGAGACTAAAAAATCATTAAAATGTTTAAAGTATTTTAGCTTTTTCATGTCTGTTATTCCACTGCAGTTGTGAATTGCTGCTGCACCGCGCAGCTCATGTTGTTGAATATTTTCTCAACAGTTTTGGAAAATATACGTTCATATTTTTAGTAATATATAATTTCAAAACACAAAATTAACCAGGTCTTTTTGTGTGTTTATTTCTCGTCTCTCTTGTGAACAAACTTACTTGATTTTTAGAAGAAGAAAAAAAAATCTAATTTTTCCTTCTGGTGTCTTCGCCTTTGTCCACCTGCCTGTGGAGAGGAAATGCTGTGCCACTGCTGACACTGTGTTTGTGTTGTTGTAGAGGAAAATACATTTACCTCTAGACTCATTCAATTGTTCTGTGAACTCATAGTTCAAAATCATGAAAGGAGGTTCAGGATGCGGAGAGGAGAAACCACTTCAGGACTGTCAGAAAAGTTCCAGATGAGGACATCAAAATGATTTTTGAGAGGACGAAGAATAAAGAAGAAGGTGTGAAGCTCTTATGTTCAATGTGTAACACAAACATGAAAAATAAAGGAACCAAGACTTTCTTCTGGTGTTTTATTCTTCTTCTTTTAAACAAACGCCTTCCTGTACTCTAGATGGCAGTGTTGTCTCAATGAGTTTAGGGGACTCTAATCAGATCACTGTGGAAGGATTACCTCTCTCTGTCTCCATGCAGGCTTATTAAAATTATTTTAAAAAATGTATTAAATTAAAAAATACCAAACTGAAACTTTTTCCATGCACCAAAGAGAGAAAACTAAACAGCAACAAAATGAAGAATTTGGTTGTTCCATGTTTGCTTATCTTCCAGATAAAGAGCTTCTTGTCCCCAGCAGGACAAATGGATTGTTGTGATGGGACAGACTTTCCCATGAGGAAACAATGAAACAGTCATGCAGAGCTGGAATTTCACTCAGGTCAGGGTTTCTACATAACCAGTGCATTAAATGTCAGACCTTTTCCTTTCCATGCAGTAGTTTAAAGCAGGAACTGTAGAGCCAGTATCATATTTATTAAATGTGCCTTTAGCATAAATAAGATCAAGGTGGCATCCAGAATTGAACCAAAAACCTCTTGATTTGCAATCAAATTCTGAGCTCTACCCTACATGTCCCCAGCCCTGTGCAAGCCCATCATACAGTGTGGGTTACAGCGAGCCTGAAGGCAGCACTTTCGTAATCATACAGAGAAGAGGACACACAAAGAGCTCCTGACATCTCTTCTCTTAGTGGTATTAAAAGTATCACAGAGCCATAGCATCCCCTCACTG